GTATCTTGCTTTGAAGAAATAAAGCATAAAGTTAAACGGAGTATAATTTACTCTGTGTATTAGTACTAGTATCCACATATTTGCAAAGGAAATGACACGAAACTGCTCAAACTAGTTATTTTTTGTTTGTGGTTTAACTTCATATAAAATTCAGTTTTATGTTAGTTTTGGTCAAAGCCTGAAAGAGCCGCTGCAGAGGGACCAAAGAGCCACATGTGGCTCCAGAGCCGCAGGTTGCAGACCCCTGGTCATGACTATGGGTTTTGGTAAAAACCTCAGTTTGATAGTCAGACGTTTCCATTTTTATCGTGCCTGGTTGATTTTGATATTTTATTTATTAGTGTGAATTGTTTATTTTTGACGTAAAAGTGATGACAAACAAATGCTTTTTAAAAACAATCATCCAAACAAGGTGGATTATCAGCAACGTATTTATTCATTTACCTCTGTTCAGCGTATTGTTTTTGTACGACTAGTGCTTAGTGTATTCTTAGTTTTAGCGTATTTTTTAGTTCATATCTTAGATCTTATTACTGTTTTTCTTTACAATTTATACTTTTGTTGGCTGTAACCCTGTGTACGCAATTTTGTTCCACCACATGCACATGTGGTGCAGTTGACAATAAAGAATCTTGAACTTACGGGGTGCTGAAGTGGTTACTGTTTCTTCTTACACTTTATGTTTTTGCTATTTTTGGGTGTACTGGGACCTTGATAATCTCGTTCCACCTCATGTACCACACGTGATGTGAATGACAATAAAAAAGCCTTGAAGGTCTTGACGAGGTCGTTTAACTTCTCGCTGGCGATCATGATGGACTGCAGCTGGTAGTTTCTCTTTGCCAGCAGAAAACGGACTCGACGGTTCTCACTGGACTGACCGACCACTTGCTTTCCATTGTCATTGCTGATAGCCCGTATTTACACTTACAGCTTCTTTTGATTTTTTTAAGCACCCGTCGATATTGATAACCGTCTCCAAAAAGCAGGAGTGAAACCTGCAGCTGTCCACGTGGACAAGTCAAACCTTCTCTGGATGAAAGCACTTCTGTCGGACGAGACAAAAATTAAACAAGAAGGATGTTTGGAGGAGTCAAGGTGATGCTTTCAGGATGAAAAGCATGGTACTAACTGTCAGGCATGGTGGTGGTGGCATCATGCTGAGGTGATGCATAAGGAGGACCTCCAAGTTCAGCTTCACCTCAAAGCAACAGATGGACAAACGGGGACACATGGGTCCAACAGGACGACGATCCCAAACATCAGAGCTTGTTTCTGATTGGATGAGTCAGGCTGACAATAAGCATCTGGTTCCTAAAGCCCTGAGCTCAACAGAACCGAAAACCCGTGGACTCGTCTCAAAAGTTGGGTCTGAAACCAGGAAACCAACAAAACAGGTCAGTAATGAGCCAGGAGGTCCAGGAGACCAGCTGAGAGACGCTCAACAAATATTAGTGGGAGTGTATGTATACTTATGAGCCTGCAGGTGTAATTTCATCCACAGTTTTGTTTCTTTTATGGAACATGAAGACAGAAGTAGGACTAAGACAAGGAATGTTGACGTGAAAACGTTCGCATACTGAGTCGAGACGATAAAAGACAAATAATTTCATTTGAAATGTGAATGTTTGAAAGTGTCTGCTGATCTTCCTGAGGTGAGGAGTGACGAAGATGTGGCCTCCTCTGCTCCTCCGCTCGCTTTGTTTTGTAGCACACAAAGAAAAGTCACGAGGAGCGGCACGCAGAGAACACAGTGTCTCCGATAACACGCCTGGAAACTTTCCTCACAGTTTGACTTTTATTCGAGGCCGAGCCTCGGGAGAACAACAGAGCTGAGGAGTGAGGAGGAGGAGGAGGAGGAGTGGGAGGCGAGCAGGTCATGTGCCGTGTGTGTTTCCAGTCAGCTGATGGTGTGTGAGTGTGTGTTTGTTAGACGTGGAGAAAGATTATGAACATCACAATATGGTGACAAATGGCAGAAAAGAGGTGATGCTCACGGCAGGAGGACAAAAACAAGACGCTGTGTTTTAAATCTCCAGGAGGTGAAATAAAAATGAACAAATGAACCTTTGAATACGTTATTCTGTGATCCATGTTCGTAAAAACACCAAGCGGGCATGATGGATCTTTTATCTCTGTAAGAGTCAGACAAGAAAAAATGTAAGAGACTGAAAAACGGAGCTGCAAGAACCGCGCTGCTGTCCTCTTCAGGTCCCAAACTGCAAACTCAGACTTTATTACGGCTTTTATGCTCGTTTAGGCACAAACTTACAAAATAATTTATTTATTTGGTCAAAACGCGTCACACGATTGGCCGAGGCTTTTGCAAAATAAAACGCTTTTGTAAAATGTTTATTTTCTAACTTATAAAACTGTTTTTCTCATTGATTTGGCGATAAGAACAACATCACAGTTTATATTCTCAGTTTGCTCCTCACCCATTTAGACCAAAAATAAATAAATTAACTACAGAAATGAGTTTTCTGCAGAACTGCAGCATGAACGCTGAGAGCTAAATGGCTGTTGAAACTTGGGGGTTTTATAGCTAAAAGAACCAGAATGCTAGCTAAATGCTAATTGCAGCTAACTAAAGTTTAATAGCAAACATGCTAAAACAAGCAAAACACAAGCTAAAAGTAGCAGCAGGCTAATTTAAAGTGGCAAAACCCTAGTAGAAGTAGAAAGGCTATCCTGATGGATGCTCAAAAGTCTAGCTAAAGCGAGAAAAACACTAGCTAATGGCAGCATGACGGCTCAGTGGTTAGCACTGTTGCCTCACAGCAAGTAGGTCCTGGGTTCAATCCCCGGTTGGAGCTGGAGTCTTTCTGTGTGGAGTTTGCATGTTCTTCTCGTGCTTGTGTGAGTTCTCTCCTGGTACTCTGGTTTCCTCCCACAGACCAGAAACATGCATGTTAGGCTGATTGGTGAATCTAAATTGTCCCTAGGTGTGAGTGAGAGAGTGAATGTTGTTTGTCTTGTTTGTCTCTATGGTGTCCTTGTGATGGACTTGCGACCCGTCCAGGGTGTCCCCTGCCCCTCGCACAGTGACTGCTGGACATGGGCACCAGAGACCCCCGTGACCCAAAATGGAACAAGCGGGTAAAGATAATGGATGGATAAATTGGTCTTAAGTGATAGCACCTCAGACTTTTAATTTTTTGTTTATGTTTTAGGTTGCTGCTTCTTGTCGTTTCCTCCTTGTCAGTCCATTTCTTGTAACCAATGGGCCTAAAATTCATTTAAGCACAACAAAGACTCTTAGACTGAATGGACACATCTGAGGAACAGTCTCTGAAATGCATAGAAAACAGTCAAATACAAGTACCAAACTAAAGCACACGACTTGAATGCAGTCAACTTCCTGAAAAAACATTTAACATATTTTTAAAAACACAAATATATTGTTTAAGCTAGATTTTAAAGAGTCAGAGTCAGAGGTTTTATTGTCATTTCAGCTACGTTCACATATGGAAATGAAACAGTGTTCCTCAGGATCACGGTGCAACATAGAACATAACGTGCAAAAACAATACAGCACACGGTGCAGATACACAACAGTACAATAAATACAAACAGACCTATAATTAATACAAAAAGACATCTAACCTAATCCAAACATTCGACTAAGCAAGTAATTAAGATACAAGACTACACACATGTAGATTAGTACATGTGTAGATGGTACATGTGGTAGAAACGTTCTGATATGTGGTTAGCAGCACAAAGTTTTTCTTTTTTTTATAGCAGCAGAGATAAAAACTTATTATTGTACTATTACTGTATATACGTCACTGAGCTGCTGCACCTGCAGCACCACTAACACACCCAAAATGTATTCCACCACAAGCGTCTCACCCAGAAGATATGCTCCACCCATGGCCTTATTGAAAGACTGCTCAGTACAGCAGGACAGATTCTCTCTCCCAAAAGAGCCAGACTGGACTCAAAAATCTTTGAAAACCAACTTTTTCTGAACTTGAACAAGAAATTCTTGCTGCAATATTAAAATGTGTCAGTTCATGATGTCAGGAGACAAGAGATGTCTCCAAATGGCTCGACACTCAGGTCCAAGTTTTAAAAATGGTGTCAGAAAGTTAAAATATTGTTCAATATTGACCCATTACAAGGTTGAATAGACAGTATTTTAACTAGAGTTGATGACATACTGGAGTCAGTGGAAATGATCAGTGCTTATCCCTTAGTTGTGTCTAATGCTCTTTTTTTCAGGCAGACAACTTTTACTTAAATGTGTTTACTGCAGTTAAAATGACACATTGGTTTTGATTTGTGTTAAATAAAAACTTTCAAAGGTATAATCATTTCTCTTTCTTATTTTGATTAATGGCATTTACCTCTGCAGGTCATCCTTGAAATTCTGACGCACAGAATCACAAGTCCAAGTGTGAACTGTGTCACAGAGTAAACACAATAAAAGCATGTATTGTCTGCAGCATTGTTCATTAAAATGGAACAACACTATTAATGTATTACAGAAAATATACATATGGTAGGCAGACTTAAAGATATGTAGACCATTGCATTAGGTAATACATTCAGCAAGTACTTTTACTTTTAATACTTTAAGTATTTTAAAAGCAAGCACTTATTTACTTTTACTTAAGTAAAAATGTTAATGTGGTACTTCTACTTTTACTAGAGTACATTTTTGTCTGTTTATTTGTACTTTTACTTAAGTACAGTGTTTGAGTACTTTCTCCACCACTGCTTAAATTATACCTAATGAGCCTATTTTCTGTTAATGTCTGAATAGTTTATTTTGTCAAACTTTTATTTAAGAAACTCTGTTGTCTTCCTGTCCGTTAGAGGGCGCTGTTATATTCCTGTCCGTTAGGGGGCGCTGTTGTCTTCCTGTCCGTTAGGGGGCACTGTTGTCTTCCTGTCCGTTAGGGGGCGCTGTTGTCCTCCTGTCCGT